ATGCTGATGTCGTGATGGAAATAATTGAAGAAAAAGCCAAAACAAACAAACCTTGGTGGAAAGAGATGTATGGTGAGGTCCTCGCAGAAGAAAGGAAAGCGCTAAACTTGTCCATTAGTACCGACACTACTGATGATGTCTAGAAGTACAAGGACACTTGTGTGGTTGTGAATTAAATAGTGTGCTAATAATACAACTTTTAGAAAGGTTGTTTGTCTTTTTGTATAATTATGTTTGGTGAGGTATAATTTCATATGTTTGTTGTTATTATGGTTCCTTGCCTATAAAAGGAAACCTTGTGTGTGCTTGTATCCTCAGATCAAGTTTACAGAAAATAAAAGCTTGTGTGTTTTTCCTATGAGTTTCTAAAGAGTTTTCTCTTCTCTCCGAAAACTTAGTATAATGTTCTTACTATAGTTACTAATCTATGGATGAGGAAGTAAGTATGCTCTACATTTGCCCTGCAAAGGGATCATGTGTATCAGAAAACGAACTCTGTGATGATCCAGTATTACGGTCCTCTCATCTTTAAGGATTCATGGATGATAGTCTCTGATGAAAGAGCTAATAGGCTAAGGGGTTCCGTGAAATGCTCTAATAAGAGGAAGACTAATTTATGGATTCTTAAAGATTGTGAGGCTCCCGACCACTTGGTATCAAAGCCAATCCATGTGTCATCTCCGATGACAGGCTCCCTGCTCGCTGGCAGCAGCTTAAAGGAAAATCTTCGAGTTTCTTTCAGAGAGAGGGTAAAGATAGTAATGATATTATATGAGTTGAGTAGGAGAGAAACATCTCAAATCATGGATAACACAAACACTAAAAATTCTCAGCCTATTATGTTACAATCTTCCTTGTCCCTTCCTAAACACATTCCCTCAAAAATATTTTTGGGCTACCACTTTTTATGAGCATGAACTTTTACGAGTTCTTAGCAGCCCATGAGATCGGGTTTAGAAATATTACTTTTTCCCCTGCGAATCCATCTTATGATCCTCTAGAATTGGATATGGTCAAGTCCTTTAGACAACAGAAAGCCCAAAGTCTTCAATTTCTGACAACATGAAAGTCTTCAATTTTATTATTACAATTCACAAATTCGATTCCTCGTTCCATAATTTGCATAAGGTTATAGCCATTACCATCATTCTACCCAGAAAAAAAAATCAATTGTTCCAAGATTTTTAAGAGTATATTAATCTCTTAATTTATTTATTTTTAAAGAATGAAATATATTTTTAATTTCTCTCCTTTTTTAATTTTAACTTCAGTTATTTTGAATTAATTAGCCATATCTTAACCATAAAAAAATCATGTAAAACTCTTTTATAATTGTAAACATATTTTTTAGATTCTACCTAAATTAGTTATGTATATCTCCTTTTTAATTTAAATACTTTTCTATAAATTTTATTCTTTTTAAAAAATTAAGAGATTAAAAACACTTAAAAGAAGTTGACTCTAATTTGATAATCGGTGATCCATAACATATTTAAATAAATAAAAGTTACATTGAGAAATGAACAATACCAAGTTGGGAGCTCCGCCACTCAAGCAAACAAATATTGTTAAGCCTTGTTTTTTTTTTTTGGTTGGTGAAAATCAGTATTGTGAAACCGGCCCGACTCGGAATCTCACGAATTGGTTAATAGACCGATTTGACTCAAGTATCAGACCGGTCATTTATCGGATTTGATCAAACTCAAATAAACCTGGTTAAAACGGTGACCCGATTGGATCATGTATTTTTATAAAGTAACAAAAAAATTAAAAAAATTAAAATTGTTTCATCTTTTCAAAAAAAATATAGAACTCATTTAAAAAAATTGTAATTTTATTTGCTAATAGTATACTCTTTTACAATATGATATTAAATTTCAGCTTCCAAAGAAATTTGCGAAACCATAAATTAAGAGAATTTGACATATGATATTTCAGTGTAGATGAATTTGAAAAATATGAGTTCACAATATCTAGCTTTTTGAATGGCTATGGAGATTTTGAGTTACAATTTTGATTGACATAGTAATCACATACATTTTTATTTATTTATAACTTGTAAAAGTGTGATGGAATAATTTTTGAACTTATTTAATTAACTTTATTTAATTTATTTTAAATATAAAAAACAATTAAATTCATATGTTTATATATATTTTTTTATAACCGGATCAACCGAGTCAACTAATGATGTATTGATATAATCAATGATCCAATATTTCAAGCGAATGGGTACCTGAGCCGGCTCTACTAAAACTGATGAAAACTGCTAACATAACAAATATATTAATGACAGCAATGTGAACAAATTGTTTGGTTTGGTTGCCCTGTGGCCTTCAAATGAGTAAATAAAATATCTAGCTGGTGTTTGTACCAAAAAAAAAAAAATAACATCTATCGTTTTAAAAGATATAAAGTAGTTATATTCTTTTAGATTCTAACTGATGATTTTCATTCATCAACGGTTATAATTTATTGGATTAAAATTATTAATTAATTAATAATAAATTTGGCCCATTAAGTTTGACCTAATAGATTATAACCGTTGATAGACGGAAATCAACGGTTAAGATCTAAAAAGTTATAAACTTATATCTTTTAAAATGATAGATGTTTTTTCAAAAAAAATAAATATCTAGCTGGTGGGAGCCACGTGGAATAATATAATCACATGGCTGTACGAACCAAAGAAGCGACCACCAATAGTAGCTCTCCACATACATGGGAACGTCGCAATCTAAACGCGACATCACAGATCATCAACGGATCCAGAGGTTCACACGTGGCATGCCATGATGATATTGTCGGTTGGAGGTCGTTGAAACATGGGAGGTTCAGTCAGTTTATGAAGAAAAAGATCCATCGTTTCGTTCCTCACAACGCAACCGACCCTCGTACGTTGTCCCTCCCTGGTGCCGAGGAAACACGGCTTCGTACGTTAGTTGCTCTATCCGCTGCTGCTTTTTTTGTTCTAACCAATTTTCTCTTTTTGTGTTTCTGGAATTCTTCTATTCTTTATAAAATCCTTGGATTCTGATTTTGAAATCAGTTTAAGGCAAAAAAACAAAAACAAAAAAAGAATCACATTTTTTTTAATAATAAAAATTTGTTGTTGGTGGGTTTAATTAGCATTCTGAACTCGTGGTGAGTGTTATTCTATCTCACGCGGCGGAAGATGGAGGAGCTTAAATTTTCTCGGCGGATGGAGTGGTGGCAGAACCGGATGTACCCTCTCCGAAGGGTTTGGGTCGGCATCGCCACCCACCTAGGGTTTCGCAAAACCGGTAAAGTCCTCTGTCTTCCCCTGCTACTTTTTAAACTGTTTGGATTATACTTATACCAATAAGCACATGGATCAAATGGGTAAGGGTTTCTTCCAGCTTAATCAGGATCTCGAGTTCAAGTTGAGAACTAGTGGAATAATTGATGAATCTCTGAATAATGTAAAAAAAAAAAAAAAAAAAAAATTGGATTATGGGAAAAGTGTTTGTAATTTATAATTCAATTTGTTTTTTGATGAAAAATTTTTTTTTTAACTTCCAATTAATTTGTGGTTTTGAGACTCATGTTATGATTTTTTATCTAATTATAATTTTAGTTTGGTTGGATGAATTAGGATGGAGAATAAATGGTGGCAGAGTATCTCTATTAATAATTTTAGTAATGTTTTCAGGGGAAGGGTTACATTTATAACTTTTTTTTTATTTAGAATTCTTACAACCTCAATTATGTATATACTCTCCGGTATTTGTATTTTTTGAAAGCACATAGTTGAGCTTGTTGTAAGAGTTAAAAAAAAAAAATTGTAAATGTAACTTGCCCCATATTTTTATATCTGAAGATTTGATTAAGCATTTTTTATTTTTTTGAGTGATATTAGAATTTACTAGTAAATATTGTTTTTGTTAGTGGTTTCCTTGTGCTTAAATTAGAGGTTGGGTTTGGAAATTATGCAGGACTGGTGAAGCTACAACATGATATAAGGGCTTGTGAATATGAGGATATTCGTGTGATGTGGGAGATGCTGAACAGAAATGAATCTGCAGAGTTTGGTCATTCTCATGTGAAAACTAGCAACAAGAGACATTGTTGGAAGTTGTTTAGGTGGGCTAGGTGTGCTGCTGTGTGAGTCTTTCTCCTCAAAGAAAAGCCAAACCTGCTTTGTTTTGGTATGGTTTTTTTTGCTTCAATAAGGAATAAAGGGTACAAAGTGTTTTTTTCCATGTAGAAAGTGGTATCCTCTTCTTTGAATCAACTCAACCATGTGTAGATATCAACTTCATCCACCAATTTGATGTAGCCATCCCTTACTCTCTGCTTAGTAGTGTGTGAAAATAGTATGTGTAGTTTGTGCCATGCTTCATCATCTTTGGTTATTTCCTACAAGACGTTCATGTGTTGCTTTTAGAGATCCATGAATCGTGTCTCAGATTTATCTTGTATTCCTTGGTTTTGTATCACAAACTATCTGCATTCTGCAGAAGGTACATTATATAAATATATGTAATTAAAATAAATGCTCGCAATGTTTTTAGGTGCTATCTCAAATCTTGGGAACTTACTCTCCAATTTAACCCTTCCCAATTGTTTTGATTTCCCATAAAGGATTAACTAACCCGGTTTATTCCAGCTTAATAATTGATCTCAAGTTCAAATTCCGGATACATATTAAAATTTTGATAAAGAGAGTTTTCTGGTCCATCATGATTTTGCTCAGCTCAAATTAAATTAATCCAAGTAATTGATGAATCGGTGAAGCAGTAAAAAATTATATATATATTTTTTGAATTTCCATTGATTCATCTCTTTAAGAGAGGTTTTGTAAGGTGATGATTATCACAATTTTAATTATGAGGTTAGATATTCATATTATCAATTTACTATTATTTTAATTACTGTTGGATCTTATTTTTCAGCTGATAATTTTTAAAAAAAATTTGAAGAAAAAAAATAACTTTTAATGTATTTTCAGAATACATAATTATATTAAAGTAATAATTGATTGGTAGTAAAAATAAGAGTAAACACATTTTTTGGTCCCTAGCAATATTAGCGAAATCCATTTTAGTCCCTGACAATATAAAAGTACCAAATTGGTCCCTAAAGTTATGAAAAAAGGGTCACGTTAGTCCTTCTGTCAACTCCTCCGTCACGGTCAAACTAACGGTGCCCATGTGGCACGTTATCTGCTGACGCGGACTCCACGGTGGACACGGTGGAAAGCTGGACGATGACAGTGGACACCCATGGAAAGCACGACGTCGTTTTACTTGAATCCAATTAATTGATAAAACCCAAATAATGAACCCTAAAATTGAAAAAAACCCAAATACCTTCATTCGAACCCTAAACCGGAAACTCCACCCCCCAAATTGATGAGCAAATCTGTAAACAGCAAAACGCCCCCAGAATGTTTGCACTTTGATGATTGAAACTCGACGAAAGACATTAAGCCATCAACCAGATTTATGGGCGTGGGAGAAGATGAGTGTTTCTTCTGGCATGGGGGGTCAAGTGGGAGTAAATTAATGGGGGAAGAACAATGGCAAGGACCACTGGTTGGAGGTGCAAATGTGGGAGACAAAGTATTGTCTATACCTCCAAAACTGAGAGGAACCCAAACAGGGCTTTCCTTGAGTGTCCTAACTTCAAGGTACGAATTTGTAATCTGCCCCTTTATTGAGTTGGAAAACTTGCTAACCATGGTGTTTATTTTTTTTAGGAGAAGAAGCCCTATTGTGATTTTTTTTAGATGGGTAGATGACATGTGTAATGAACTCATGGAACTGGAAGAAGCAAGAATTCACACTGTGGAGTTGGATGTTGCTGAAATGAACTTCAAGTTGAAGTATATGGAGATGATGATAAGAGAGCAAGATGTGAAGATTACTGAGCAAGGAATGAAGCTTCATCAACAGGAAAGAAAACTGAATGATGTATACCTGAAGATGGTGGAGGAGTTAGATAGGATGGACAAAAAAATTAGGACAGTTGATAGGTCAGCTAGGGTCTTAGGTGCTTGTGTTGGTGTGATCATGATCTGTATGTTTGTTGTTAGTGTGGTAAAAGTGAAAACAAATGACCCAAATGTATTTTTCCTTCAGTGAATTGTAATGAGTACTCCTTCCTGTTGTTATACAAATTATGTGTTAGTTCAAATCTGTTTGTGTGTATTGTCATATGGCCTATTATAAAAAAGCCTTGAATGTATTCCTTAATATATTATGGCATTATATATTTGTGCCTTGGTCAAATGTTGTACTGGATGCTAAGCTTCTTTTAGTATGGACTATTGCATAGTTAGGCATCGATTGAAGGATAAAAGATTGCTACATTGTATCACAAACAGATATAGATTGCTACTGATATAGACACATAACTCATGACATTGCTGATACAGAAGTTGCATATTGTTATGCATATTTTGTTACTGATTGCAAAACACGAGGACCATTTAGGTCCCTGGCAATGTTACTTGAGGGTCGTTTTGGTCCCTGACAAAGTACACTGGGCACTTATTGGTCCCTGATTTCAGAATATTAGGACATGAGTTGTTGATGTCCAAATCAACAAAATGCAGCACTCATTTTAAAAAACAGAAGTGCATTACATCAGATACACTTGTTGTCCCTGACTTATATGCTTTTGAATGCAGTCCAGATCAACAAAATAGAAGTGCATGACATCAGAAATGCAGTATGTAGGGGTCCAAATTGGTCCCTGACAATGATTGTCGGGGTCCTAATTGGTCCCTGCATTCAGAAAATTGGACATGATCTGTTTCATCAGTAACACAGCACAAACCTGCACCAGAATGCAAATATGGCAGCTAAATGACCAACAACAAGCTAACTCAGTTAAAAAATATAAAATGGACATGAACTTATGACATGCATCAACCCTGCCACATAATAGCTGCAATCTTGGGCAACCTGCAACATTCATCAACCAGTAACCAGAAAATATGGCCAGCACAAACCTGCACAAACCAGTAACCAGAAAATATGGCAGCTAAATGATAAAAACATAAAATGGACATGAAATTATCACATTCATCAACCCTGCCACATAACATGCATGTCCAGAATATAACCAGTAACACATAATTGTCTTCTTAGAACTAGAAACCAGTAGTGCATTACAAATAAAAGCCAACTGATAGAAATTCCAAGTGAGGCCTATAAATACAATCTTGGTCATGCGTCTAAATGATTACATTATATCTATAAATACAATCTTGGCAAGTGTGTATGTTATTAAAAGTCTTGATTTGGAAAGCTTTCATTTTGTTGTTCCACGAACAGTAAATCGTCCAATCACATTCATCATTACTACACTTTGCTCGGGCCCTCACTTTGTCATTCTTCAGCCACTTGAATTGTCTTCCTAGATCAATACTGTAGTCTTTGACAACATTTTTAAATAATTGAAGACTCACAAACTCCATTCCTACCTCTAAGTGCACATGACCAAACTCCTCATGCACATTAAATTTTGGATTGACAACCTTTTCATCCTCTTCAGCACCACTTGAAGGAGGCGTGTTCAACTCTTCAGAGTTATACCCATACCCACCCTCCTCGAACGACATTGACTTCTCATCCTCTTCCATTGTATTTTCCCCTGCCAACTCTTCAACCTGCTTTTTTTCTTCCTTTTTTGCTTCTTTTTTTTTCGACAGCTTTACCCTTCCCCTTGCACTCCTCTTCACTCTCTGTTTCTGTATCATACATAGGTGGAGGAGGTTTATATGCCTCATCCTCCACACTATCTTCTGAATTAGTAGAAAACCCATCACCACTGCCACCTTCATCCTCCAACCCATCACCACTGCCACCCTCATCCTCCTCTCCACCACTCCCACCCTCATGTGCATGTGCAATAACTTCTTCTGGTGAAACATAGACAGGGGTTGCAATGCAATCTTAAAAATAAATTTCTATGAGATTGCCATTACTCAATGCAGCCTTGACCATCTCCACAATATCAGCGTCCGTATTCAAAGGCCTTAAACCTACATATAAATCCGCTGCGTTTGGCATGAGCCACAACATTTGCTTACACGTCTCATACCCATAACCCTTGAACAGAGTATCAAGGTCACGCAGGTTGACGAAGTCAGCATCCATCTCAGGTAAGTCAACCACTTTGCCATTTACATAGGTTAGGACCCCTTTATCATCTCTCTTCAACACACCCCCATGATGATACCTTATCACTATGTATTCATCCATCTGGAAAAAAAATCAACACAGGGCTGTAAATTACAATAAATTCATGCGAACATCAGGGTCCACAAACCAATTTAAAAAAATGGCAATAACCATATACATCAAACTCATCACTGCCGAGAGGGGACAAGCCAATAACGTGGAAAAAATTGCATCTTTACAAATTATGCATGCACTAAAAAATTGGTGACCACAATGCACTAAAAAATGGCAATATACTTTACAAACCGGTAGTGAAGGGGACCACATACATAAATGGGTATTTTTTTTTTAAACCCTAACCATGATAACTCACAATGGAGCGCACATGGGGGACCATTCTCCAACAAAGAATAGACAACATGAGGTGATGGGGGACCACAAATATTGAAGATTTTTTAAAAAAACACTTACCTTACTGCATGTAAGAAAACCAGCACACTCGAACTTCCCTTCACCACCACAGGACCAGCCTTTCGACAACCTTCAAAGTCCACGCTCGATTGCCTTCCCTGCAACCACCGTCTTCGACAACCCTCTCCGTTCAACGAAGCTTCCAGTGGAGGTCAACAATGGTCTTCCAATCATATGCAATAACTTAGTTAAAAAAACGAGTCTCCACGGTTACTTGCAGTGTTGGTGCCTCTTGATTTCTCAAGAATAAAACGACGTCATTTGGTCTTTTGGAAAAGCTTTGCAATCCTTTTGATTCAAAACGTCGTCGTCCAGCTTTCCACCGTGTCCACCGTGGAGTCCGCGTCAGCAGATAACGTGCCACATGGGCACCGTTAGTTTGACCGTGACGGAGGAGTTGACAGAAGGACTAACGTGACCCTTTTTTCATAACTTTAGGGACCAATTTGGTACTTTTATATTGTCAGGGACTAAAATGGATTTCGCTAATATTGTTAGGGACCAAAAATGGTGTTTACTCTAAAAATAATTGATAGTATAAATATCATACTTCATTTAATTATTAGCTGTTTGGTTGTGAATTGTATTATTGCAAGAAGGAATTGAGTTTGATTGAGACACACATCAAGTAATATGGAAAATAATCAAGTTGGACTTCATTTGGAGAGGATACCTTTTACTGATTGTTACATGATTAAGATTGAATTTTCTTCTTGTATGACAATTTGCCTCATTGGAATACGCACTCTACCCGATGTATTCGAGGTTACATAAAGAAATAGAATATAAAAGGGAAATAGATTCTCTTATGTGAAAAAGTGATCATGTTATTTGATCATAGTTACTCATTTAAAAATTATACATATTTATATTCAAAAAAAAATTATACATATTTCTCTTTTTTATCTCATCATCAATAAATAATTATAATTAAATAATATGATCACATCATATGAGAAAATTCATTCCCACGTAAAAGTGATTTTAGTGTCGGCAAAGCTGGCCCTTGCTATCAGTTACTTTAACTTTTCTTTCTATTATTGAATTGATAGGAACATGCTTAAATGTTTGGAAATAGACATGAATATATTCCTTTGCTTTACCCAAACGGGTAAAATTTTTGTGAAGTATAAAGTTAACGAAAGTAGTGGATCAGTGATCAAAATATTACTCTTTTTCAAAAAAAATTCCTAAATGTCACACGAACAGTTCCGAAAATTGCTTGATTCTGATTCATTGATTCATTGACAGCTTAATTTTATGGGAAATTTTTTTAAACTTGTTGTCATAAAGGAGTCGAACTTGAGTTTGAATATGTCAGAAATACATAGTGTAACCTAGTGTATTTCCGAAAGTACATAATATAATTTGTAAGAATTTGTAAACAAAAAATTTATAAATATACTCCTCCCATATATATATATATATATATGGCAAAATAATTTGTCATGTGACCGAATCTAAGGTTTGATCTGGTAAAAAAATTATAAATATATATTACGGGTAGTACGTAGTTATATTAAAATCATATTTTTTTGTATAAATTTTTTTTTCTCTCTTCAGAAATTTAACTATGTACTACGGATAGTACATAGTTATAATATTAAAGTTTTTCTTTCTCTGCTATGTCACCCTACAATTGTCTGAAAAGTTACAAATGAAGAGAATTTTTTTTTAATATTATACCTATGTACTATCGCTAGTACATAATTAAATTTACGAAGAGATAAAAAAATATCTTTTATGTTATAATTATGTACTACTGATCATAGTACATAATTATAATTTTTTTAATGCACCAAACCTTGTGTCAAGACAAAAGACATCCGCTTAACCCAACATATATATATATATATATAAGAAGAAAAAAATAAGGTTGTCTGCAGCTATCCCATTCTAACTAATAGCCATATAGGCCCATTGAATAGAATAGGCCCATAGAATAGGATCAGATATCTGTATATATATATGGATCTGTAGTCTATTGTAAATAATATATTTTTACATTTAAATACACAAGAGAATTATTCAGTTACAATTTCCTTTGAGTATTTTCTATTTCCCTCTTCATATTTCACATGGTATCAAAGAGCTAAAAGATCCATCGACAAATCACGCGCTCAAACCTCTGTTCAATCCTTCTCCAATCCAGTCTCATTCAAACTCGATGAAGACAATTTTTTACCTTGGAAACAACAGGCTCTTGCCACCATCAGAGGCTACAATCTTGATCGCTTCATTGCTGGGGAACTTCCAACGAAACCTACAGCAAAAGAAAACTCATCAACAACTTCAGAAAAAGAATCAAAGGACAAAGACATTATTGTTGATCAAGAAACCTCAAGATCCATCGACATACAACAAGATCAACTGCTATTATCTTGGCTACTGTCTTCTATGTCAGAAACAGTCTACACAAGAATGGTGGGCTTCCAAACTTCCTTTCAAATTTGGACAAAACTAGAAGAGTTCTTCACATCACACACTAGAG